CATGCATCTGGCAGCCACACCAAAAAAAACCCAATAATTACGTATACTCTTTTCTGGTTCCTTATTATATGTGTATATATATATATATATATAGATATATATATATATATATAGTATAATATACCCCGAGAACCCTATTCTAATTGTTAAGACCCCCATATTATGTTTCTGTAGGGTTCAGAGCCGCATTGAGGAACTCGGGTCCTTTATTTTATCGAACGAGGATGTGGCACACTCTCACATGCCATTCGCTAGCACATGAGTCGAAACCTCACTTGACTTAATAGGAGAACGATCTGAGGCTGCGTGGAGTGTTCGCAGTTTCGAAGCATCCTTTGCACAGGTGCGGGACGTGGATCTCGTTCGGCTGGGTGTGCGACTGGAGGAGCTGTAGCCACAGCTGCCCCGGGCCTGCCGGAAGGGGCCAGTGCCGTAGTGTTTCGGCTTTGTTTCTTTGGGATTTCTAGGGTTTAGAAGGTGGAAACCGGAGCTACGTCTGCTCTCGGCTGCCTTGGTCATTGAAGCCCCCGATTCTGGTGGGAAGACGCGAAGTCACGAAGCAAGCACACATCTGCAGGACCGAGGAAATGAGGGCTACGCCCGAGCCTGAGACATCTTCCCCAAGGTTTATGAAGCGGTCAGCTGCAGTTTGACTATACTACCCTCCAATATCAGTGGCAGCGATAACGGCCTTCTTATGATGAGGATGATGATCATCGTCATCAACAGTATCGCAACACAAGCTTTTAAATGACGCTAGCCGCCAGCTTGGATGTGAGTGCGCCATCGTTTTCGGCACCACGTGCTCAATGTGCGTTTTTGTTTACACAAGACGTGTACTTATTAGGCTTACTCCTCTATGCAAGCAAACATAAGTACGTATAGACATACATAGCCATATCAATATGAATACAACTGTGTATTTATATATATGTATATGTATGTAGAGAAAGATTGGTTCGTGCTGCTACGTTACCTAAACTGCCGCAAACCATGAACCGTCATCCACTCACAAATCGAGAAGTGCACCGAGCGTAAACCCCTCAGGGCTGAACACCGACGCCTCAAAAAATCCTAAAACCCCGAAGCCTATAAACTGGGCCTAAACCCTGCTTGAACCCTTCGAAAATCCCAAAGCCCCTGAACCCTACAGACGAAGGAGCCTAGATGCGTAACCTTTATAGAGCCTATATATCCTAAACCCCATGCTCTGTGTTTACGCATGTTTCTCCAGCTGAGGTGTGGATGTTCGAACCAAGCGAGGTCTTGGAGGCCTTTGACCGATCGATCAATGCTTTCGCATGCAGGGATTTCGGTGACTCTTGGGTTCCCAACAGAGCTAAGGAAGAAAGAGGGCAGCCCTAAAGCCCGGGGCACTCTGAGGGACGTAGGGAGGTCGGAGTCGATCTACAGAGAAGGGCTGAGGATCCAGTATTTAAAGACCTCTATATATATATATATATACATACATACATGTATGTATATATGTGTATATATATATATATATGTATAATCGCTTCCCACTATTATTAAAGCCTCCCCTAATATTAAAACTGCCGCCGCCCGG